GCCCCCCCCCCCCTTTTTCCTTCAACAGAATTTTTTCCTGGTGTTTTTTTTGGAAGGTGCGGGGGTCGGTATTTTTGTTTCAACCATATGGCAACCCTACGCAAGATCTTCAAATAAAAATCTGGATCTACAATGAAAGAATGAAAAATACAAAGGACCAGATTCAGCCCTGGTGTAAACAGATACTTCTCAACTGATGCCAGCAAACCTGTGCCTGCATACATCAGCACTGAATTTGGCCTATAAGCATGAGTCACGCCTGATCTAAATACTTATGCTCCAACAGTATGGATTGTCTCCCCCCTTTTTGGTCTATTGCCTCCTCTGACCCTTCCCCAGCATCTGTTTATGATGATGATCCTTGTGAGAATATGCTCGTCCAACCCCTGTATATTAATAATACCTAGCACTTACATTACACTTTTCTTCAGTAGATCTCAAAGTGCTTTGTAAAGGAAGTCAGTGTCATAATCTTCACTTCACAGATGAGAAAACTGAGGCAGAGGAAGGTTGAGTGACTTGCCCAAGGTCATCCAACAGACCGGTCGCAGGGCCAGGAAGTCTCCTAACTTCTCCTGAAGCCTGGGGCATACACTAGTTAAAAGACATGATTAAGCTTCTAAATTGCAAGCTCCGTAATGATTTTGTTGACTTTTAAGTCTGCAAAGAGCCATGTGTCCCTGTAAATCAATTAATTTGCAAGCTTCTATAAGGACATTATCAAAATGAAGCTAAAAAATAAAACTAGGCAGTATATTACATGCCCTGTAAGGTTTCCCCTTTTAAAACTGCAGTAAGTTAGCTGTCTCCAAATAGACTCTGCTGTTTCAGCCACTGCTTTCAGCTAGTGTTGCCCGATAGTCTCCCAAAAAATATTGGACACATGGTCGAGCAAAAAAAAAAAAAAGGGAACGCAAGATAATAAGCCATCCTGCCATCCTCCTCCCACCTCCCCCCCCACCCCCGTTTTGGGGCGCCCAGAGCAGTGAGCGCAACCCCGCCTCCCAGCTGGGACTCCCAGGCTGGGAGGCAGAGCCATGATCGACTCTGGGAGTTTGTGATTGCGCAGAAGCCTTACGGGAGCAGGGGGAGTGGCTGGGACTCCCCTCACCTCACCTAGGCTACTGGAGCACCCAGAGCGGCGATCGCGGACCCACCTCTCAGCTGGGACTCCCAGGCTGGGAGGCAGAGCCATGATCGACTCTGGGAGTTTGTGATTGCGCAGAAGCCTTACGGGAGCAGGGGGAGTGGCTGGGACTCCCCTCACCTCACCTAGGCTACTGGAGCACCCAGAGCGGCGATCGCGGACCCACCTCTCAGCTGGGACTCCCAGGCTGTGAGGCGGGACCGCCATCGGCGCTGGGAGCCTGCGATTGTGCTGGGAGTACCAGCCACTCCCCCCGCCCTCACCAGGCTTCTGCGCAATCACAGGCTCCTATCGCCGATCATTGCCCCGCCTTTCAGCCGCTCCCCCCCGCCCACTTCTGTCCGGTGCACAACCAGAAAAATCAGAGAATACCGCACATTGCACATGTCCGGTATTTTCTGATTTTTTAACCAGACAAAGAGCGCAAATACCAGACTGTCCAGTAGAATACCGGACACCTGGCAACCCTACTTACAGCAACAGCTGAGAAGAAAGTTTGGTGCTGACATATCAGAGCATGCTGTGAAGGGGAAGCTTCCAACATAGTACAATAATAGGTGAAGTGGTTCAGGGGGAGTTCACTTGTGTTTGCTGAAGTGGTTCATGGAACTTGTGTGTTCTGGGTTCTGGAAACATGAATTGATCAAGTGACGTTATTTTAGTCTGTTTTGGCCCTGGACTATGTGAAAGAGAAAAACGATGAAGGATTAGAATGGTTAGACTTGAATGTTGGTTCACTTTTTCATGTTGGAACAATTGTAGAGCATGACTGATTGTTGTATTAATTAATTGGAAGCAATGAGCTTTTAAATGCTGTGATTAACGTGACGCTTGTTTAACCGTATGCTGAATTTTCCAAACAAAATATGTAGCAGTTTTGAAGCATAAAAAGGAAAAATCCAAGCTAGCTACACAGTTTGTTTTCAAGTAGACTCATTGGGTTTGTCTACAGAGAAGTGTAAACACAGGTACTTGAGCCTAACCCTCCTTGCTTTCACCCACCTAGAGCTTGAATTTAGGGTCTCTGCAGGGCTGGAGGGTCCAAGCCCTATTGCTTTCCTGCATGTATGCAACCCTGGCTTGACTCGGGTCGGGGATGTCTTCCAGCTGTATCCCAGGGTTCCATGGGACAACTTCCTTAGTTCTCTGTATTCCATCTGTGTTGCAATCTATTGCGCTCTGTAGCAGACAGAAGCCCCACCTCCCTTTGCAAAAGGCAGCAGCTCTGGCCAACATTATCTGCTGAGCACTGGTCTGCAAGGGCACTATCAGAGAGGCTGAAGGGTTCGTAGTGGAGACCGATCAGACGAGGCTTTTTGCGAAGTGTGCTGCTTCCTGGTCATAAGAGCAAAGCCAGATTTGGGTGCAGCTGCCAAGATGTTGGGGGTCATCCCTCTCCTGGCTATGTTGAGCTCTGCTGCTCCCCATCCCTCCAGGCAGCCGCTTAGTCCTGCTCCACTCTCTGTCCCTTGGTCGCAGGTCTTCCTGCCCTCCTTGGGCTGCATATGGAGAGCCGCCTATGCCTGGTGAGGATGGTGAGTGGGAGCTGCCCCAAAATTTCTCCACTGTCTCCCAGGGATCCTCTGTTTCTGCCTCCAGGGCATGGGCAGGGAGGAGGGATTCCCAGGGGGTGCTGCAGCATGCTGCTCCCCAAATCTGGGGATGCACTTCACCAGGCTGTGTGGGGTGCGGGTATTTTTCCTCTGACACCTACATTATACGCCACACTTCAAAACAAACAGAAAAATAAACAAACAACCCAAAGCCCCTTCTAAAATGGGAAAAATGTACAACATTTCATTTTCATTGTTTGACAAGCCCTGGAGACTGATGTCCTCAGTATCCTCAGAACAGGTGCACACGAGCATTTTCCTGCCAATGTGGCTCAGCCTGGAGACGGAGAGCCCACCTCTCAGATGAGATGGCAGTTCAGTATGAAGCCTTCACAAACCGCAGTCAACCTACTGAGACAGCCCCCAAAGGAGCAAATTATGCCATCTGTGTGCTCGTGCTCCTTGTGGGTACCAGAGTCCCATCAATAGCATGGCCTCAGGTTAGGAAACAGGGTGGGCAGTGGATTTCTCACAGTGCAACACAGAGTAACACCCTATCAAATCCACAGCCATGAAAACCCCATGACAGACTGTGAAATCTGGTCTCCCACTGTGAAAGTGATGCATGCTTTGCCAGTGTTCCCAGCACATCTGCCTCATGATAACCCTTTCCTGTAATTCCAAGTATTGATTTTACCTGCTGGCCGTTATTATGGTAATGATCATGGGTTGTAGTAAATCTTGTTTTCCTCTCTCTCCACAGGCTTGTTGATTGGCTCTGGCTGTGCCCTCTATCCATTGGGTTGGGATAGTGAAGAAGTGAGACAGACCTGTGGTAACCTTTCCAACCAGTTTGAATTGGGTAAGTGATTGTCAAAAGAGCTCAGTGCCTTTAAATTCTATCTCCTCTATTGTCACTAAACACAGAGAGGCCTAGAGAGCAGGTCTGCAGGGAGCAATTCTTGCATATTTGCTGGATGCTGGTGTATATATTATTGTATTGCTTAATAGAGAGGGCTAGGGCATGGCACTCCTTATAACTTTACTAAGGATATTTGACCATGGAACATCACAGATACACAAAAGGGGAAAAGCTCTTTGAAAGCAGAATCTCTGAAGATAAATTAGAAGAAGTTTCATCAAAAGAGACCCAGGAGTGACAGAAGGCAGAAGATTAGATGTGAATTTGCAATGGAGTATGTCAGCAAATAAGTCAGTAGAGTTTTTAGCTGCATGTGCTCAGGCATCATGTTGCAGAGCAGTGCAAAAGCGGTGGGAGATATTCACAACAAACTAAAACCTATGCAGACTGAGCATTGGATTTGAGGTTTGATGTATTCATGGAACTCAGCCTATGTCTTTGAGAGTTTGGGGGATGTAGGTTGTTTATTCACACACATGGGAAACTGGTGAATTTCCTTTCAAGAGCCTCACTTCCAACAACAAGCCACTGGATTTAACTGTTTCTTATTCTAGATGTTCTCAAGTGGTCTTATCTCTTGTTGTGCGTTTGGAGGGGGGAATCCATCGTATAGTGTGAGGCTATGTCTACACTACATGTTTTGCCGGAAGAGGCAATGCAAATGAAGTGCAGATTAGCATTTTCTCGTGCTTCATTTGCATAATCTCTTCTCTATTCTGATCCGTTTTTGCGTAAGAGGTTTTTGCACAAAAACAAATAGTGTGGACGTTTCCTTTTTGCGCAAAACCCCCGGGAAAAGGATCTTGTGCAAAAAGACGGTTTTGCACAAAAAGTAAAAGTCCACACTGCTTGTTTTTGCACACAAACCTCTTGCGCAAAAACGGATCCGAGAAAATGCTAACCTGCACTTCATTTGCATTGCCTCTTCTGGCTAAACACGTAGTGTAGACATAGCCTGAGGAAACCTCTCAAAGGTGCAGAAGGGCCAACCATGGCGAATTGCATGCCCTAGGTGGCTCCAGTACATTGAACTCAAATGTCCGAGTAAATGAGCAGGGATGTCTTTGCTTTCAACTACTGCAAGCAAATCTGTAGGGTCACTCTGTGAATCCTTTCATAGCCTGCACTTGGCAGAGTTTGTAGTTCCCTAACAATAGTGCCTTTCTTAAGGATTCTGGCACACCATTCATCAATCTATACTTGCCTAGTAGGGGAGAGGGGAGGGCTTAAGAACAAACCTAGAGTATTTTTTAATTTTGTACAAATATTTCAACCAGGTTTAAAGCCAAACAGTCCCTCCCAAGATATGCTTGTCCTTGGCTCAAAAAGCTACTTATGTGCGTAAGCAATTGTTTTGACCTTGGAATGCAACAGGTTGCCATGCACAGCCTAGGTTGCCGAAAATGTCTCTTGGTAAACTGGGATATATTCTAGAAATATTATCCTGTCTGTAAATAAATGTCTTAATTGAACTATCCTTTGCTATTAGCATGTCAGAACATATTGTCTTCCAAACAATATAACTGAAAATTTCTTCAGTTATTCTACAAATATTTGCAGCATGCAAGCACAAACATGGAAAGGCATAAAGAAAAAGAAGCTGTAGGTTAACAATCAGAGCGCATTTCCCAAGGGCGAATAATACTGTGGAATGCTCCCTCAAAGAAAGTAGAGCAGTGGTCTCCAACCTTTTTATGTCCAAGATCACTTTTTAAATGACAGACCAAGCCAAGATCTACAGCCCCGCCCCTTCCCTTCCTTGAAGCCCCGCCCTCTCTATTCTCCTCCTCTCCATCACTTGCTATCCCCAATCCTTATACTGCTACTTTTTTATTATTATTATTCTGTAGTAAGAGGTTTTTCCAACATTTGGCCTGTCTACACTGGACCAAATATCAGAAAAAAAACCCTTCGTTTGGAAGCCACCTTATTCCTTGTGGAAAGAGGAATATAGGGGTGACCAAAAGAGCCTGTTTGCTCTTCCACTAAAAAAGCGGAAGAACAAACGCAACCCTGGATGCAGAAGAGTTTTTCTGGGATATCTCCAGAATCCTGAAAAACTCCTGCAGTCTAGCTGGACCCTTGCTGTGTTGTGACAGGATGTGTAGGCTCTGGGGTGGGCATGAGGGATTTGAGTGTGGGAAGGGGTGAGAGGTGCAAGCTCTGGGAGGAAATCTGGATTCAGGAGGAGGTGGAGAAAGGGACACTGGCTCAGGGAGGGGGCTCCAGGCTGGGCAGTGTTGGGATACTAAGCAAGCCAC